GGTCCTCGGCCCAGTGGTAAGTCGTTGGACATTTACGCGCAATGACCAAAAAGAATCCAGCTCAGAGTCCCAAGTTATTTGAACCTGGAGGTTTGTGGAGCTAACGACGCTTATTATGTTGGTATCCCTTCCCGATTGACAGTAGCATAAATAGGACTATTGGTCTTTATTGCCAAATCAGCTGTAACACTGGCGGTAGCAGTAACGCTGATGATGGCGGCAGGACTTTTATTTTTAGCTTAGACTCATTGTTAGTAGCAGTAGTAGTAGTAGTAGTAGTAGTAGTAGTAGAAGTAGTAGTAGTAGTAGCAGTGGTAGTAGTAGTAGTAGTAGTAGTAGTAGTAGTAGTAGTAGTAGTAATGGTAACAGAAATCTCGTTCAATGACAACACTTAACGGAGCAACTCTCTTATCAACTTGAGCAGTTTGTAATTCCTTCAATACCGGAGGTAATCTTCAGTAAAGCAAACTCTTCGCCAAGCATCATGACTTAAAAGTGATTATTTGTTGACATTCCATGTTTTTGTCTTTTTTTGTGAGCTATGCTTTTAAGCATAGTTGAGCGCAATTTTCAATGTAGGTTCCTCCAGCATGCAATAATATCGAATATCTACTAAACATCAACGCCTACTAATGCGCATAACAGTAGTATTTATCTAATCATCTACCTCCGTCTGGGGCCTAAGAAATGTAAACTTAACCTTCGTCTGTCCCAGTGGCCCTCACTGCTGCCACTGATGTGGATCCTTCCTATATCCGCTTGATAGCGAGTAAACCACTTTATTTTGATTTTTCGAATGAAGGAGGACAACCAGATTTCACAATCCGCACTGTTCTTTTCACTGTCGAGCACAGATCGCTGTGCATCACAATGCTTCGTCAATCATCTGGCAGTACTGATTGCTGTTCATAGATGTGACAATTTTGTCTTCTTTCAAGGGACGTCGATTACAAAGGATTCATGGAATTCCTTGAGGGCCGATTAGCCAAAACCTATGCAACAGCCAAGGGCATTGAACACGATGCCGCGGCCCAGGAGTTGAAACGTAAACTCACCGGAGCCACTCCCCAACTGCATGGTGCCACTGTACGTTTCAGTATCACATACCTTCTAATTATAACTAAACTAACTATGCCTAACTGCATTCCCTACCTCCACGCACGTATTTGGAGTGTCCAAATATTGCAAAGCATCACCAGCCGTAGTATTTTAACGCATCCATGCTGTTTTGCTAAGTTTGTTTGTCATGATGGTTGTTTTTAAACTTGCTGGAAGAATTCCTGATGTTTCGAGTTTGCATTACTTGATGCAGGGTGAGTTTATTTCCCCTCCTCCTACTCTGGCTCGCAACCTCCAACGGTGCAGGGGTCAGTAGAAGACAATCATCTTCACTCCGAATTTCTGCTTTAAGACAGATAGCTAACATGGATTTCTTAACCATCGTTTAGCAGCGCAAGATCGTCCGGCTTTCGTTAAGCACTCAAAAGAGCATTCTCATGTAAATTTTAGCCCATTATTCCCCAATAATGTCAACACCAAAGAAAATGGCATCAAAACTTAACCGCGTCCGCATTTCATCGAAGTCCTCACTTTTTGTTTCTAGCAGGCCGGAGAAGGTCACTTTATCTGCTTCCCCTTCCCATGTAGCTTCTGACCTGCCCGCTTGCATACTGCATCAGCTTCTTCTTACTCCTTTCAGAAGGCCAGCTCTGACGCAACCACTGCTCGTTTAACAGATGTCCGCAATTACACTGGCGCACACAAAGAACGCTTTGATCCCTCAACCGGCAAGGGTAAGGGCAAATTAGGACGGGAGGATGCTCCGCCCGCCTTCACCGCCACTGGCATCTCCGCTCCCCGTAAATAGGGAGGATGGCACGCACACCATGTCCCTCTCTCTCACAACTCCACCGGATTTATATGTCCTCTACTTATCCTCAATGACACTATTCGTACAAACACTTTCCTACTTTCTGTCTATCGTTTTCATTCACCACACACACAAACGCGCACCTCGTTCCTTTTCTCCTTCTTTCGTTGTTGTTGTTGGTGCTGTGCTGGTAAAGTATTCGGTCCAGCAAACACGTCAACACAAGATGTCACCTGATAACGGTTCAATTTTCTGCGGGATATCACACAGTTTTATGGTCCACTCCCATATGTGATATTTGTTAAGAAACATGTTAAAAGCCCAGTCTTTTTTCTCGCCACATGTCCTTTCTGGGGGGAGATTAACTAAAGCTCAAGTCTTAGCACGCTCTGACCAGTCTAAGGATAAACTACAAGCAGCTGTCGGTAAAAGCTTATTAGCCAGAAGGAGACGAAAGCAGAGACTCTTGATCCGATCTGCTAGAGCTTTCCGCTGCTTTGCTCCGCCAATCCCTTCAGTCTGATAAAAACTCATCCGTGTTAGATCTTGGTTTTAAGCCCAGAATTGCAGTCATTTGTAATTTTGTCTCAACTGCTGACGTTCCCATGCTGCTCTTCTCTGCGTTCCGAAGATGTTCTGGGTTTTGGCCTTCTGATTTGTCCAATCTCCTAATATCCTCGTGTTCCCACCTCTTGATTTCGTTCTTCATCCACCGCATCTAGGCAGCTGTAACTGCAAAAATTCATTATTTGTTTGCGTTAATTCATGACACCGCCAAATTGACAAAAATCGATATTATCGTAAGGGAATAGTCAATCCGCGTTTACCGTTGCCCTAGGCAGTTAGACGAACGCGTTTTTTAAGTCCACCGACGATACCCATGTAGACATCTAAGAAGTCAAGTCCGGCAAACGTACGCTTCCGATTCCTCATCTTTAGGCCTGTACGGTAATGTAAGAGAGGGTAGAATAGCAAAATTTAAACATCCTTCAACCCCCTTCCCCATATTGTCTTTTATTGGATGTTTTAATTTGATATTCTGATGAAGAATGGGAGGCGTACGTTGGCCGAATTTGCCTTCTCAGAACGCGTTTTTGCTTGTTCTTGGATCATGATGTTAGGAGATTTTTTCTATCAAGAATTTGAATGCGTGAAAATGAAGGTTATTTTGCTTTCGCTCATACACATGCAGGACAGTTCGACCGGGTGGGCACAGGAACTGTGGCTTGCACGTAAACTAGTTTATAGGGACAGTAGACTTGCCATGTACCTGTCGCACCCCCCCCCCCCTTCTTCACCCATTTGGGGTCGGTGTCAAAACAATTTCAAGGCAACCAAAGATGGGATTGGACGCAGATGGCTGCGCGGCGTGAACCCGCACTTAGGCCTTCCAAAATGCCCCCTGATCCACGCAAGAAGGATCTGGATTTCACGCAACAAGAAAGAGGAAACGGCTCGGACCCCAACTGAGTGAGAGGATATCGAAGATGACATAAGGCAGGAGCTATTGAGTCTGACTCGCAGTCCACCAGTCGGCCAATTCATCCAAGAGATTTGAGATGAATCGTCCGGTGGCAGCCTTCCAAACTACGGCTTTTAGCGCATGGTGGCGGTCTCAAGCACAGCAGATTGGTAATAGTGTGGAATATGTGTTCAGAGTCAACTTTACCGCCTCTTATCCCTCCCGTTCGACAGTCGATCACCTGAGCCGATCAGCAAGCTTCTAATGGTTTTGGGAAAGGCGGTTGAAGGAGTTAAGAACAGCCCGCCGATGAGTGCCACACACACACACACGACCTGGCACCCTACACAACGTCCCAGGATTTCACACAAAGGAGTTTGACTGCTCGAGTCTCACCACTGATTGAATAACAGAGGGGTCACGTGGAAAAGGAGGCGAAAATCACGCTTCTAACCCAGTTAGGAATTGCTCGTTCTGTGCCTGAGTCGGGCGGTGTTTTTGGGTTAATATATGGTGTGTGTGTGTGTGTGTGAGTGTGTGTGTGTGGTGTAGGGGTGTCAGCGGTGGGCTCACGTGATGGTCGTGGTGGTCGCTCACTTGCTTGCAGGTGAGACTACGCCTAGCGTCCACTTGCTGGCACTCAACCCTCACCTGTGGCTCAACGTAGCTGGGCTCTGCTCAGCGGCCACACCCCGGGCAACCGTCTCGACCGGCGGCCTAAACCAGGTGAGGGGGCCCTGTGCGCTGTGCTGTGTGCACAGGGTTTGCGGATTCCGCTGGATGGAAGGTCGGATGGAACCTTGCGTCGGCACCGTCGTGACGTGGTTCGTCTCTGCACGCCGCTGGACAGCCGGTGAGGGATGGATCTCCACATCGACATCGCCTTGACGCGCCCACCTACGCCGTCGGAGACCGCGGATTACGGCGAATTCGAGTCGCTCTCCACTACAACCCGAAGTCGTGGTCCCATAGTGGAGTTCGGCCGTGCCACAACGGCACATGGCAGCCCTATTCAGCGATGGCACTGCCAGCCCCCACGAGGGGAAGGGCCTAGAAAATGTGGCCTAAACATTGCTGGGTACCACGCCGTCTTCAGGCTAGCCAGGGCCGCAGACGTCTAAACATGGTCGAAACAATCAAAATCGAAACAACAGCAATACCAATAACAACAACAGCCATACTCATTCTCCTCATCCTACCTCTCCTACCTCTTCCTCTACCTATTCTTCTCCTTTGTCACCTTCTTCTCCACCTCCTCCCCGTCGCCCCACTCGTTGTCACCAGACTGGCAGGGTGAGTCCGCTCATTCTGGCAGCCTGGAATGTTCGTTCCCTTTTAGACAATCCGCGGAGCAACCGACCGGAACGGAGGACAGCGTTAGTGGCACGAGAACTCGCCCGCTACAAGGTGGACATAGCCGCACTCAGCGAGACCCGTTTCTCCGAACAAGGCCAACTGGAAGAGGTGGGTACCGGTTACACCTTCTACTGGAGTGGTCGGCCCAGGCCAGAGCGACGAGACGCGGGCGTCGCCTTCGCCATCCGGACCGACATCGTGGGACGACTGCCCTGTTTGCAGCAAGGAATCAACGACCGCCTGATGAGCCTCCGCCTGCCTCTCCGGTGAGGAGGCAAGTTCGCCACCATCATCAGCGCCTACGCTCCGCCGATGAGCAGCCCCGACGCCGCCGCAAGAGACAAGTTCTACGAGGACCCGTACGTCCTCTTGGCGACTGTGTCGAAGGCGGACAAGTTGATTGTCCTTGGCGACTTTAACGTCCGCGTCGGCACCGACCATACTGCCTGGAGGGGAGTGCTGGGTCCCCACAGTCTCCGCGGCTCAAACGACAATGGTCTGCTGTTGCTCCGCACCTGCGCAGAACACCGCCTCATCCTGACGAACACGTTCTTCTGTCTGCCGGAGCGAGAGAAGACCACCTGGAGGCATCCTCGGTCGCGTCAGTGGCACCTGCTGGACTATGTCCTCGTCCGGAGGCGAGATCAGCGGGACGTGCTGGTGACGACGGCGATCGCGGGTGCTGACGGGTGGACCGACAATCGCCTCCTCATCTCGAAGATGCGTATTCGCCTACAGCCTCGCAGGAGACCACAAGGTAAGCGACCCCCAGGTAAGCTGAATGTTGCCTTGTTGTCTTTGCCCGTTCATCATCTTCATTTCAGCAATGAGTTCGCTCAACGGTTAGCCAACCTTTCCAATCGCTGCCGCCTACGACGCCGCCGCCGCTGCCGAGAACGCCCCCGTGGAGAACCGCTGGTGTCAACTGCGAGACACGGTCCAGGCGACGACGCTCGCCGTCCTCGGTCGCGCTCCCCGCCAACACCAGGACTAGTTCGACGACAACGACGCCGCCATCAGAAATCTGCTTGCTGAGAAGAACCGCCTACACAAAGCCTACGTAGATCACCCCACAGAGGACAACAAAGCTGCCTTCTGCCGCAGTCGCCGCCAGCTTCAGCAACGACTGCGCGAGATGCAGGACGCCTGGACTGCTCGCAAAGCTGAGGAGATCCAAGGGTACGCGGACCGCAACGAATGGAAGAACTTCTCTGCGAGCAAAGCTGTCTACGGTCCGCCGACGAAGGGCACTGCTCCTCTCCTCAGCGCCGACGGCAGCACTCTCCTTACTGAGAAGACGCAAATCCTACAGCGATGGGCCGAGCATTTTCGAGGCGTCCTCAACCGCCCTTCCGCCATCTCTGACGCCGCCATCGAGCGCTTGCCGCAAGTGGCGACCAACGCGGACCTCGACCTTCCGCCATCTCTCCAGGAAACGATCAGGGCCGTGCAGCAGCTCTCCAGCGGGAAAGCACCCGGATCGGACGCAATCCCTGCTGAGGTCTACAAGCACGGAGGTCCCCAACTGATGGATCACCTGACTGCGCTCTTCCAGGAGATGTGGCGTCAAGACGAAGTGCCGCAAGATTTCAAGGACGCAATCATCGTGCATCTCTGCAAGCGAAAAGGAAACCGACAACTCTGCGACAATCACCGTGGCATCTCCCTGCTGAACATCGTCGGGAAGATCTTCGCTCGCATCCTCCTCAACCGTCTAAATAATCATCTGAAACAAGGCCTTCTGCCGGAAAGCCAATGCGTCTTCCGTCGTCATCGTGAGACCACGGATATGATCTTCGCCGCCCGCCAACTGCAGGAGAAGTGTCAGGAGATGCGGACTCACCTGTACTCTACCTTCGTGGATCTGACGAAAGCCTTCTACACGGTGAATTGTGAAGGACTGTGGAAGATCATGCAGAAATTCGGCTGTCCGGAGCGATTCACTTAGATGGTGCGTCAGCTGCACGACGGTATGATGGCGCGAGTCACGGACAACGGAGCTGTCTCAGAGGCATTCGCAGTGACCAACGGAGTGAAACAGGGATGCGTGCTGGCGCCTACCCTCTTCAGTCTTATGTTCTCTACCATGCTGATGGACGCCTACCGCGACGAACGCCCTGGAATCCGCATCGCCTACAGGACGGACGGTCACCTCCTGAATCAACGGCGGATGCACTTCCAATCGCGCGTTTCCACAACCACCGTGTACGAACTCCTCTTCGCTGACGACTGCGCCCTGAACACCACCTCGGCAGAGGAGATGCAACGGGGCATGGACATGTTCTCCGCCGCCTGCGAGAACTTCGGTCTGGTCATTAACACGCAGATGACGGTGGTGATGCATCAACCGCCACCCAACTCAGCCACAGCCCCCAACGCGCCGCAAATCAACATTAATGGGACTCAACTGCAAGTGGTGGAGAACTTCCCGTAGCTGGGCAGTACCCTCTCCCGCAACACCAAGATCGATGACGAAGTCGCCAACAGGATCACAAAAGCCAGTCAAGCCTTCGGTCGCCTCCAAAGCACAGTTTGGAATCGTCATGGTCTCCAACTGAGCACGAAGCTGAAGATGTACAAGGCCGTCATCCTGCCGACGCTACTATACGTTGCGGAGACTTGGACGGTGTACACAAAGCAGGCACGCCGTTTGAACCATTTCCACTTCTGTTGTCTTCGTCGCATCCTGAGGCTGAACTGGCAAGACCGAATTCCCGACACTGATGTGCTGGAACGGACGGGAATCCTCAGCATCTACACCATGCTGAGACAAATGCAGCTGCGCTGTAGCGGTCACCTGGTGCGCATGGACGACGAGCGACTACCCAAACGACTCTTCTACGGAGATGTCGCGAGGGGTTTTCGCCGCCAAGGAGGCCAAATTCGCCGTTACAGGGACACTCTGAAGTCCTCCCTGAAGCGCCTGCAAATCAACCCGACCTATTGGGAAGAGCTCGCGCACGATCGACCGACCTGGAGGAGGACGGTAAGGACAGGCGCTGCGATCTACGAAGCCAATCGCATCGCCGCCGCCAAAGCGAAACGCGAAGCCCGCAAATCACAACTTCGCCCAGTCCGCAACGCCGACGCACAACCGCTACCTACGTGTCCTCGGTGTCAACGGACATCCAGGACTCGAATTGGAGCTGTTGGACATCTTCGGATCAACTGCACCTCTCGGACTGCACCGACTATCGTCCCCCCGCCCGTCTCTTCTTCGTCCTCTCCGCTGCGAACTAACTCTGACTATTCTTCTAAACCACCACTTCCATCCTCCTCCTCCTCCTCCTCATTCACTGCCCCAACGGCGGCCGCTCAGGCGGCCGTCTCGCACATCACCAACCGCGACACAACAACAGACACCACCCCCACCTCTCCCGTCTCCAGCGATGAGGATCAGGACCACACCTGCCCTCACTGCGACCGCAGCTTCACCTCACACATCGCACAGAGACTGGCGAGCCAGTGCCTGGAGTACCAACCTACACCCTCCGCACTCGCCTCCACTGCCCACACTGCCCTCGCACCTTCAGGCATCGCATGGGTCTATTCGGCCACATGCGCATTCACGAGAGCGGAATTGACCGCAATACTGACTGATCCATCATGTCAAACCCCACCCCCCACGTCATCATCCTGCGCTCCCGCCGCCCTTCCCGCAGCTGACACCAGCACTACCGAATTCACCTGCCCACACTGTCAGCGCACATTCACATCTCGCATCGGCCTGGTCGGTCACTTGCGAATCCATCGCACAGAGACTGGCGAACCAGTGCCTGGAGCACCAGCCTATACCCACCAAGCTCGCCTCAACTGCCCACACTGCCCTCGCACTTTCAGGCATCGCATGGGCCTATTTGGTCACATGCGCATTCACGACGACCTGCGGTAGACAACCGCCGGCTACACCACACATTCACACGCTCCCTACCTTACTTCACCATCACCACCATCAACCCACTACACATCAACACGCACCCACAGCATGCACCCAACTGCCACCTCCCACGCAAGTGGGAAGTCCGCATCTCGACTCGGTCCCCATGCGGCTTCGGCTGCAGGGGTGACTCGGGCCCGAGACTATCCCGACAGGCCAAGCGTCGTGGATATGAAGGTCGCTGATTGACGCCCGCACTCGGTTCACGCAGTTCGTCCCGTTGTGTGTGTGTGTGTGTGTGTGTGTGTTGTGTGGAGTGGCGGACTGGTGGGCTGGGGCGGGCCGAAGCAGCACCTTCCACGGCCCTCTCACGCAAGTGAGGGACACGCCGTTCAACCCCCGTTGTGTGAAATCCTGGTGTTTGTGTGTATAGGGGGCCAAGTCGTGCTGTGGCGCGCGCAGGCATAGTCAGTCGACCGTGCCAGCCACCGCGCCCAACTCCCGCTCCAGTTTGCTGACCGGCTCGGACAGCGGCTGGGGTGTGGGAATGGGAAGGGAGAGTGAGGTCGACGACTCAGCGCACTTTCCTCACTATAATCAATCTGACGCGCTTGAAGCTATCACGGTGCGCTAAAAGCCGTGGCTTGGAAGGTTGCCAACTGACGGGGTAACTTGGACCTCCTCCTTAACGGGAGGCGGTCTGAGAATCAGGCTGCAATGGCTCCTTTTTAACGTGGCCTTTATGGCACTCCCTCTGTGTGGGATCCGAGCCAGGCGTTGGCGGCACGCCTAGGTGAGGCTTCGGTCGTGCCAGCCTCCAAATCTCTGTTGTGTTGTTCAAATCCTGGTTATTGTTGTGTGGACCAGGGGGTGTGGTGGAACGCCAAGGTGCGGATCCGTCCGAGCAATCCACATGCGGCCGCCCCCGTCTCCGGTCTCCTTGACTCTGTCTTGACACCGGGCTCAGGCGGGGGAGGAGGAGAGAGTGTAGGTAGATGCAGCGCAAGTCTACTGACATTATAAACCTCTGCGCAAGTCACCGTCCCTGCTCCAACCTGTTGTGGATCACACGGTGGACATCATCGAAATCGATGGTCGAACTGTCGTGTGTGTGTGTGGTGGTGGTGGTGGTGGTGGTGGTGGTGGTGGTGGTGGTGGTGGTGGTTATCCACACTCTTCGGTGATATTGAAGATGTTTGGTGTCAGTTCAAGGAGATAGTTCACTGCCTAATCATGCGCAGAAGACAACGATTAGACCTCGCTGGTTGACTCGGTCCCTAACGAAGGAACTTAGTAAGAAGAGGGAACTATTGAAAAGACCTCCCACTGATCGGACATCTGAATCCTTAAACACTTATAAGTTACAGAGAAGCCGGAACAAAAATGTCATCGCCAGAGATCGGCAAGTCTTCTAAAAGGGCTTGTGAACCATGTCATGCTTAATTCCAAACTTCTTTACAGTTATATATGGCCGAGTACGCGGAATAAAGATCCTAGCCCATTTCTGCCAACGGCTGAGTGTGAGGAAATCTCGGAAGATAAGGATAAGACTGAACATTCTTCCCGGTACTTCCGGTCTGTCGGAACAAGTGAACCCGACTTTTTCCCACCCACTTGCGAAGACGAAGAAACGCCCACCATTGAAGCAGTCTTCTTCACCGAAACAATCATTCAAATAGAGTTGCCACACCTGAAGGAATTGACTGAAGGAGCTAGCCCCAAAATTTCCAAACCGTCAGCCTTTATCTTCTAAGCTTCATTTGCTACAGGGTGCCCGCCCTCCAAATGGAAGTCCACTAACATCACTCCGCTTTCACAGGATGGAAGTCGAGCGTCTGCGAATAACTACAGGCCAGAGAGTCTGTTGCGAAATCATGGAGAAAATCATTAAGTAAGCTTTGGCGCAGTTCTTTAAGGGATATCACCAGCACCCAGATGTCCAATATGGATTTCGCAGTGGTTCATCCTGTCTCATTAATCTGCTCCTTTGCCTCGAACGCTGAACCAGGGCACACGACAAAGGCCATACGGTTACGCAATTTGCATAGACTTCTAAAAGCCTTCGACAGCGTCCGTTGGATCCAGCTGGTCAACGCTTCGAATTTTCCACGCCCTCCTCGCAAGTGCTTCCACATTTTGCCCCTGTTGACATTCCTCTTCCCCCTTCTTGTTACCCTCTTTCGAGCGTGACCGGCGTTCTTTTAATTAACTAGTTTTGTGTTCCGACCTTAACCTAGAAATCCGATTTGCCCGAACGGTAACAAAGGAATACTTTGTCTAGGGTACCCATTGTTGAGGTTTGTACCTTTTTTATAATCTAATTCTATCAATAGTGCCGTAATTACACCTAAATCTATTTTGGCTTGTACGTGTGACTCAATTTACCAAGAATTCTACAGCGTCCCTCGTCAACGTCTGTTGCACAAACTGCTCAACGCAGAAATTCATGGAGGCCCTCTTGTATAGATCCTGACCTATTTGACTGGATGGTCCCAGAGAGTGCAGGTGGGCGCCGACTGTGGGGAGTGGCGTCCCACACGGTTCGGTCTTAAGCCGCACGTTATTCCTTGTTTTCGTTAATGACTGCATCATAGACCTAGACTGTGATTTTATTCTCGTCGTTGATGACGTGAAATGGTGGAAAGTTATTCACAATACGGCAGACGGAGACCACCTGCAAACAAACTTTAACAGGCTCGAGGACTGGTCGATGCGTTGGCTGATGTCATTCAATGAAAGTAAGTGCGACTTTTTTTAAGGTACACCACTGCAAAAAACTGACAGTCAGAAGGACTTGGGCGTGTAGATTACTTCTTCACTCAAACCAACACCGAACTGCGCGAAGGCGGCTAAGTCGGTCATGCCTACATTTGACAAAGACAGCTTTTCCAAATATTCGGCGCTTTGTGCGACCTCATCGAGAATGCGCCATACGGGCATGAAGACCTTGGACTGCCAAGGACTATACCGTCTAATTGAAGGTCTAGAGGCGGACAACAATAATAGGAAAAGGTCTGGGAGCACTGCCTTATGAAACCAGACTGTCAAGTCTTAACCTGTTTCCCCCTTTCCACAGGCAGCTAGGCGGTGATCTTATGCTTACCTTCCGAATTATGAATGGTCTCGACTGTTGTTTAGGTCCCAGTGATTACTTCACTCAAGTTAACACGCCCACTTTACGCCGCCAGCCATTAAAACTGCGTGCAGGTAAGGCAAAGGTCAACGGAGGAAAGTTTTTTTTCAGTACCAGAGTGATAGCAGCGTGGAACGCCCTGCCTACTGGCCTTGTTCATTACTCTTATGTAGATTCATTTAAGTGTAGACTCGATACATGTCAAGCTCCCTATTTATCAGTCACACGCACTTGCATAACCCTTCACCAAGCCTGCGTATGTCCATACTACTTACGATGAGTGGGTAGGCGCTCATCCTTACCATTTTTCAATTAGCTGACAGCTGCCTGCATTTTGCATGCAATTATGTACACAATCGTTTTCCAACTTTCCGCTTATCGACGTTATTCTCTGAGGATTTGTAACCAGTAGGAAGTTCAAAGGCGTTCGCATGTATTTCCATTATTAAAACTGAACCGAACTGGACCTGTCGTCGCAAGATGATCTGATAAATATTAAAAAGTTGAGAAGTTTCTCGGGTAGGTTGCTGTGATCCAAGAGCGGCCTTATCCCTACAGGATTCGAGTGAACTTGTAGCGGGCAGCCATCATGTCCGGTCTGACGTCATTATTCAAGACCTCGTTGCCCCAAGGTCATTCACCCTTTTGCAGCAAGCCGTTCCAGACGCGCTGACCTAAAGTCTTACGACCGACAGTTCGAACACGCCTGCGTCCGCACAGACGCAGCTGCCCATACGGCCGCCTGGACGCACCTCCTCCCTACAACCACAACCTAAGCCACTGAGATACCACCCTTCGGCAAATGCAATGAACAATGACTGGACACCATTTGAGCTTGGCCCATGAGCCTACAAAAGTGGCTGCCACCACCGTCCCAAGGACTCTCAGGCATGACTGGACGCAGTCAACACCAGTTCTGACTTCGCCAGTGTCGCCTGGGAAGACATCTCAAGGTTCTGTGCACAATAAGCCCCTCATTCTGGTGTCTTTCGTCTTCTCCCAACAACACTAGGATTTGCCCTGATTATATTAGTGCTCGGGCTGCACAGACTCACACCGCCTGGTCACGACATACCTATCTACAGTACCGTGAGCTCAGTAAGCAAAATGAGGCCTACGGACCACTCTATTTCAAAGGCCTGCCACCTGACCTGTTTGCTGTGTGGCTCATGCCTTGGCGGATTGTGACACACCCTTAAAGTGCATTTGCAGACCGATTTACTTTGAACCAGAGTCATAAAATACATTTATTCCTGACTGTGCGCGAGCTAAGAGGCATCTGCACTTACAGTGTTTACCACCCGAATTATCTTTTCGGAGCACAAAGCGTTGTCGGCCGCATTATGGATGTGAGGACACGTGCATGGGAGTCAACGTTAAACCAACACGCAAACAGACTGGGCAATTATCTTACGCCATGCATTTCAATGAACACTTCCCCTGCTACTCCGCGAGTACCTTCTTGACTGAATACTTAAGCCCATTAAGTGGTCGGTGCCATTAAGCATAAAGGCCTTCGACAGAGACCTTGAGTGAGTCTCCGTGCGCGTTCGCATTCTCGTGTTCCTCACTGACCTCCCTCCCAACTACCTCCATATAGGAACTGTTATACGAGACTCTTCGAAGTTCCTCTGTTCAAGCTATGCAGACGGGTTCTGATCACTCCTCTAGAGCGGGGACGACGAAGTGTCTTTGTTTAAGCGTCATTAGTATCGCCTACGGCATCGTCGACGGAAACGCTCTTAAAAGTTGTCATTATAGTTTTAAAGAAGCATTCTGTCCCCCTATCCGTCCGACGAAGCCTAAAACATCATCAAGATGGCTGAATCTCCGAAGATTATGAAGCCGTTTTCTTTGACGGTAGTAAGACTTTTGACGGAAATATCATCGTAAGTTTGTGGATAAGCTTCAGAACCATTGACCGACAGGCGAGACAGTTAAAAGAGTAAGATGGTTCGTGCATTCAAGACCTCTCGTGCAGGTGTTGTCGCAGAGACTCTCCAGGACCGGTGTTAAAAGCATTTAGTAGTTTATTTCTAAAACAGCGAACCACTTGAGCTATTTTAAAATGATCACCTACTCCTGATTTTAATGCATTTTCTATATAACACATAATCGAGATAAAAGGAAATTAAACACCAACGGTGAAAGACTCTAACCTCTTGCAAATAATCCCCACTCGTACATGAGACCGTGTTTAAGCATAATTTCAGGAGATAACATTATTCCGTGTGCTGATTCCACATCGAACTTAGGGATATTAATTGCCCATAACCAGATGTGCCCCAAACAGTACATGAAACGCAAGTTAATGTACTCAAGGACATTGCCCCGTCTATTAGGTGGAATGCAATATCACTAAAGGAGACCTTTTCCCGTCAAATTCAAACGATGGGCAAAATTTTCAGAGTTGACTAACGGGATGTGATAAATTATGTTTGTTTGTTGTTCTTTGGAGGTAGGATCCTTGAGTCGAGATAGTACTGCACGTAGTGAGGATGCTGGTTTGTGTGCAATATACGTACTCAAACGCTTTAACTGTCGGGCGACTACTTCGGAGGTTTCCTGCATATAAGGCAGAGGTAAGAATCTTTGTGCCACTCTTTCTCCGATATGGGTGGGGTCTTGAGGTTGTACTTGGTACCTGTGACGGTACTTTGCAAAACTCCATGGACATCCGCTAGATCGTAACAACTGAACCAGGCGGGCGAACTCTTTCCTAAAGAGATAACTGCTGTTGTAATTACCGTAGGCCCGGCGGAACCGAGTTTCGGACGCAACTTCTTTTGTAAATCGCTGGGTGGCTGCTTTTATGATTGAGAATGATCTCATAGTCAATTCCTTTCCTATGGACGCACGTTGCAAGTCCACCACCGTTTTATCTTTGCATTCTCACGTCCAGAAACGACAGACCGCCTCTTACTGCTTTTTCACGGGTAAATGTATGCCTGAGAAGACATCATTTAGCCTCCGATGCAGCCTTTCGACCTTGCAGTTCTTTATTGTGACAAATGTGTCATTTACACAGCGAGGCCATATTTCTGGTTTAAGAATTTGTACCATCTCCTCTCCTAGCCGCTACAATGCTGGTTCGGCGAGTAGTCCTGGTATTGGCGAGCCCATTGCGATTCCCTTTACCCTTTGGTGGTATTTATTGTCGAACTGATAGTAGTTCTTAAGGCAGAGTTTGAGCAGTTACGTAACATGCTGCGTTGGAATCTCATCAGGGTTATCCTGAGCGTTGGGTTGCGCATTCAATTGCCAAATCGTGTGATATAGAAGAAAATAATGTAGCGGTGCGAGAAAATATAACATACGTATCAGCACTTAATATGAAGCCATGGGTCCTATGGAGGAAGCCATGAGATGTGTCAATGCCATAGTCAGATCTATGATTGTCTCCTTCACATGCTTGTAAGTAGGTGATCCAGTGAGTGGTATTATGCTCCCCAGTGATGCATCTACTTTCAGTACTTCTGCAAGGCCACATGTGTGTGATACGGGGATCACTGAGGGTCATAACTTCGGAGTCATCTGGACTTATAACTTTCAGACGAGCGAGGTCATTAGCCTTTTTTCCTGGTGGCTACAGCTTTCTTTTTATCACGTCTTCGGCGAGATAACAGGACATTTTATCAGCAACATACCCAGTTTAAGTTGTGTGCCTATATCGTGTTACAATTAAAAAGTCAATTTTGCAAACATGTGTTTTTGGTAACTCGTCATCAGGCCAAAACAGTTACATAGAAGTTGAAAATTTGCGAAGTTACAGGGTTTAAAAGTGATTAAGTGGCTATTAACGCTCATCGTCCACACGCCATTCGCATGATGAGGCGTGTTATGGCGTGGTCGGCGTGTTATCGTCATTGACTCAAGAGGGCGAGGGGAGAGGTACATGGGCTGTACTAGCTGAGTGTGCAGCCTGACGTGTCGAAGATAATGTGAAATATGACAATATAATAGACCCTGTCGACGGCAAGGATGTAAAGATCGCTGGTTTGATGTAATAGAGTTCTCCTGTCTAGTTAAGTGTTATTTTTTCAGGCAAATATACGTTTAGTATATATTGAGCCCGCCATTATTACCCCCTCGGGAAGTCCGTTCCAAACAGCAACAATCCGCTGCTTAAACGGGTGCCTACGAACATCCATGACGAATAGGGTCCTTCGAATGTGAAGAGCTCATCAGAGTGCAAGACACATTCCCGATTCCTCACAATCTGATAGGTCTCTATGAGATCTTCTCGGATCTGCCTGTATTCAAGGGAAATGTTGAAATGCATCAAGTTTGCATTTGTATGAACCCTTTCCAAAACTAGGGGCGTCATGCCAGCATTTCACCTTTCATTTGCAAACGAATGAAGGCCACATATACCTTTTCAAATCACTTCGTAGCCTTATCTACGAAAGTTCTATTAATCGAGGAAACCACATCAGAAACACCTTTAGCCGTCACGCGCATTCAGAGGAGGGCTTCTGGGATGACGACCTTGTGATTCTAATGTCTTTTTATGTACCTATGTGGCGGTCAAGGATGTGAGATCGACTTAAAACCACGCACAATAAGTTCGTTTCGTCTACTGTCAGAAGGCAGGGAGCTGTGAGGACTAGTTTATTCTGTACACAGGGCAGGTTGCCGTAAGTTGGCGGTTTGCATGCAACAGAGAAAAGCGTCCGTTCGCAGAGGGCGTCAGTCGCGGTGTGTCTTGTTAACGCGAGTGTGTGTGTCTAAGTTAGCAGGAGGGGGTGACTGTCTGCGTGGTGGTCGTGTGATTGGACTAATTAGGGGACGAATGGAGGGCGCATACTCACAAGGCCTCACGGGAATCAAGCCAAAGCGTTCGACGCGCGTTAGGCGATACTAGTTTTTGAGTGCAGCCGGGGTTCACTGCAGCTGGACCGCAGGTGTCCCAGTTCTAGCCGGCGAGGGTGGTCGTGCGTCAGCGGCCTGTCAGCGCTTATCGCGGTCATCGACCGACAAAACGGAGCCGGAGAAAAGGGGGGCTGGAGCGGCTGCTACAACCCCCCCCCCAGACACCAAACGAAGTGAAGGCGTCGACATGCTAACCAGCCACAAACCTGTCGGGCCAGTGGACGTGACGGCCAGATCGTGTGCGGCGAACCGGAGGGGGACTGTCGCCAGAAGGTGGAGGCACCACTGTTTGCGGCGGGGCACAGTGTTGGGGTGAGGAAAGGTCACTGTCGTCGATGTAGGCCGGCTTGACGCGATCAATGCTGACTGTGTTGGTCTTGCCGTTGCGGTCGATGACAACGTCTTTGTCAGATCGACGAAGGACTTTATACGGCCCGTCATAGGGTGGTTGGAGTGGTCGTCGGACAGCGTCATGCCGAACCAAGACGAAATCGCACTTATCCAGGTCGGGAGGGATGAAGGAATTGGCCGGTGACGCCCGAGGGGGCGTTGCGCAGAGATTGCGCATGGCACTGCGTAGTCGCTCCACATAACTGCAAGGTTCAAAAAACGTTAGCGTGTTTGAAGGAGAAACTAACTCACCGGGCAGTCGTAGGGAGGTTCCGTAGACAAGATCAGCTGCAGTGCAACCGATGTCGGCCTTGAGAGTGGAACGGAGGGACAACAGCACCAGGGGAAGGTATTCAGACCATCGGGAAGGATCGGGCTGGGCCATAAGGGAAGTCT